CTGATCTCGAACTCCTGGGTTTAAGTGATCCTCCTGCCTCAGCCTCCCAAGCAGCTAGGATTACAGGCGTGAGCCACTGCGTGCAGCCATAGGGGTAAATCTTGATTGGGCGAAGTCTTAGACTCTAAGCCAATTATGATTATATCAGTCCCCTTGCCAGGGATTGTTTAAGAGTAAGGATGTGACCCATTTCTAGTCCATGAAATACGAAAAGTATATGAGAGGGAGGGGTCGCTTCTGGGCAGGTTTTTGGGGTTTTTTGTTTTTTGTTTTTTGTTTTTTTTTGAGATGGAGTCTCTCTCACTCTATCACCCAGGCTGGAGTGCAGTGGCGCGATCTCGGCTCACCAAAACCTCCACCTCCTGGGTTCAAGCCATTCTCCTGCCTCAGCCTCTCGAGTAGCTGAGATTACAGGCATGTACCACCACACCCAGCTAATTTTTAGTAGAGACAGGATTTCACCATGTTGCCCAGGCTGGTCTTGAACTCCTGACCTCGTGATCCACCCACCTTGGCCTCCCAAAGTGCTGGGATTACAGGCATGAACCATGGTGCCCAACCTGGGCAGGGTTTTTTTTGTTTGTTTTTTTGTTTTTTCTGCTTGTGGATGTTGTTACGTCAAGGTGTAAAACCTAGAAATACTGAAGTCATCTTGGATCATGAAGAGAAGCAGCCTTGGAATGAGATTGTTACTGAAGGTGGCAGAATGGAGAGTTGGAAGAAATCTGGGTCCTTGATGACACCATTACCCACAGGTTGTACTATGCCCAGAAACAGCTAGTTTCTTGATTTTTGTTGTTGTTGTGGTGGTGGTAAAATAATAAATTTCTTTACTGCTTAAGTTTATTTGAATTGGTGTTATCTGTTACTTGCAGCTAAAGGCTTCCTGATTGATACAGTACATCTTGGAAATAACAGAGTTCAGCAATCTTCCTATAGAGAATTTTGTTGTAGCATAACTCCTGTGGAGTAGGAGGAAAAAATTAGGATCCACAGGTTATTCAAAACAAAAAGGGATCTTCTAGAATTTGAGGAAGTGAGAAATTGGCAAAAATATGTTTTGGTGAAATCTTCTTTGATCAGAACATGATAAAAGGAAAGGAATTAAACATTTTTCTTCTATAATTAAATAATTGTCATTTTATATTAAAATTGTTTTCTAGAAAAAAACTTGATTTTTGTTTGACAAAAATGTTCAAAGCAAATACTATTTTTTATTTTTAAAATTTAAAAATAACATTCATTATTCTCTAAAATTTTACTCTTCTCTAAAATCTTCCAATACATTTGTTTTTGAAGAACACTATTTATGGCCAGGCGCGGTGGCTCAAGCCTGTAATCCCAGCACTTTGGGAGGCCGAGACGGGCGGATCACAAGGTCAGGAGATTGAGACCATCCTGGCTAACATGGTGAAACCCCGTCTCTACTAAAAATATAAAAAACTAGCCAGGCGAGGTGGCGGACGCCTGTAGTCCCAGCTACTCGGGAGGCTGAGGCAGGAGAATGGCGTAAACCCGGGAGGCGGAGCTTGCAGTGAGCTGAGATCCGGCCACTGCACTCCAGCCTGGGCGACAGAGCGAGACTCCGTCTCAAAAAAAAAAAAAAAAAGAACACTATTTACTATTCACAATCATAACATTTTACTTTAGTGTAGCTAAATCTATTAAGTAATCAGACAGCAATTCAGCATAACTAGTTCATTACATTTGTATAGAAGTAGATAATTTCATAGAAATCTATCAAAACAAAATGAAAAATTGATTATTTGCTTACAAATATTAGAAGAGTGGTTCAGCTTTAATGTCTTCTTTATTTTATCAGTAGCAGAAAAATCTGTCATGTAAACTTTTCTTAACTTCTTTTCTTCCGAAATTCCTTACTTTCTATAACTTGGCCTTTTGACAGTTGTTAGAATCAGTTACTGACAATTCCTTTTTATCATTCACAAAATATAGCTGGAGACCTTTGCTCAGAAAGGAAAGCTCTGGTATTAATTATCAACTTTATTGTTTCAAGCTTGGGTTCTGTACTCATGTGAGTTTTCAGCTATGAATTATAGCTGCAGTAATTACCATGCCTTTGTTGATAATTTTAGTTGAGTTACTTGTACTTTAGATCATATCTCTTTTTTTCATAACTAATGATTTTAAAGTTTTGGCATTTGGGAATTACAATGTTTCTGAACTTTGTTTACTTTTTTTTTTCTTTTTTTTAGTTAGGGTCTCACTCTGTTGCCCAGGCTGGAGTGCAGTAGTTTGATATGGCTCACTGCAGCCTCAGCCTCCCTGGGCTCAAGTGATCCTCTCACCTCAGCCTCCCAAGTAGCAGGAACCACAGGTGTGTGCCACCATGCCTGGCTAGTTTTTGTATTTTTTGTAGAGATAGGGTTTTGCCATGTTGCCCAGGCTGGTCTTCAACACCCAGGCTCAAGCAATCCTCCCACCTCAGCCTCCCAGTGTGCTAGGATTACAGGGGTGAGTCACCATGCCCAGGCTGGACTTTATTTAAATGTTGAAATTTAAAACTCTTGGTTAATGATAGGAGGCATTTCAGGTGGTTCTCTGTGGCACTTCTCAACTTTTGTCCACAAGGATGCACTTGGCCTTCCTATAAGTTATATGTAAATCCCTCTAATTTATTGTAGCTCCACTTCTTTCTCTCCACCTAGGAAGAGCTTTACAGACATTACCTTTAATCTAAAACCAAACCGATAGGAAATAGTGGCACTTTTAATCAGTAGCAAATTACTGGAACATTCCTCCTGACACTTCATCACTCTACAATGACGCCGCATGATGCCTCATGACTCCCAGTGAAAAAGACTACTTTAGTAGTCACCGCAATGCAGTGGGAAACAAGAAACAAAAGACAAAAAATAAAGTCCCTTTCACCCCCCATTTTGTAGAGTAACCTTTGTTGGAGCAGTAACTTAACCTCTCTATACTTCAGTTCTCCTTACATACAAAATGAAAGCTAGAAGTTCTTATGAAAATACCAGTTGAGTGGTTTTTTAATTTTTAATTTTTATTTATTTTCTTTTTGAGACGCAGTCTCACTCTGTCACCCAGTCTGGAGTGTGGTGGCATGATCTCGGCTCACTGAAATCTCTGCCTTCTGAGTTCAAGCAATCCTCCTGCCTCGGCCTCCCTAGCAGCTGGGATTACAGGCACGCACCACCTCACCCAGCTAATTTTTGTATTTTTAGTAGAGATGAGGTTTCACCATGTTGGCCAGGCTAGTCTTGAACTCCTGACCTCAGGTGATCCACGCTTCCTTGGCCTCCCAAAGTGCTGGGATTACAGGTGTGAGCCACTGTGCCCAGCCAAAATATCAGTTAAGTTTAATATTGTTTTCAGAGCTTCACTTCAATAAAATAGGATGGAGGGCCTGGCAGAGTAGAGAGGGATTCAAATGAAGAAGGCTTGAAATCGTAGGCTGAGGAACTGAATCATGGGGGCTTGTAAAGATTACTGAACAGGGTAATAGCATAATCATCAATATCTGTGTTTCAGGAGGAACACTCGCAGCAGTGTGTAAAATAGGAGAGAGTGATGGAAAATAGTAGAGTCAGGAGAGTATTGCAAAAGTCTAGACAAGAGTTGATGGTAATTGCTGTGAGAATTGGAAAAATTTGACTAATTAAAGAGGTATGGAAGACAATCAATTGTAGAAGCCATAGGATTTGGTTGGATATGAGAAGTAAGGGAGAGTAAGGATTTCTTTTTTTCTTTTTTGAGACAGAGTCTCGCTCTGTTGCCCAGGCTGGAGTGCAGTGGTACAATCTTAGCTCACTGCAACCTCTGCCTCCCGAATTCAAGTGATTCTCCTGCCTCAGCCTCCCGAGTAGCTGGGATTACAGGCGCACGCCACCACACCCGGCTAATTTTTGTATTTTTAGTAGAGACGGGGTTTCACCATGTTGGCCAAGATGACCTCGAACTTCTGACCTCAGGTGATCCGCCCACCTTGGCCTCCGAACGTGCTGGGATTACAGATGTGGGCCACAGCCTAATCCTAGAGTACGGATTTCAATGGGTTAAGGGTTTCCGGTCTGAACATCTGAAGATGCCATTCCTTAACTGAATGCAAGCTCAGGAACGTGTGGATTCTAGGATTAAGAATGATTTTCTCCTGTTATTTGAAATGTGGATCCCGTGTGATGCTAACCACCCGGACAGTTAGAGTAGCTGTGGGGAAATTTCTTCGAACAAAAGAAAGGAATATTCTTGTAATGAAAACAGCTCATTTTTGTAGTTCGCAACCATTAGTGCCCCCAAACTCTGAGGTAGTTATTACCTCGCCAGCAATAAAAGCTTGATTATAGTCCCTGATTACTGACTCTGTGAAGGTCCTTGTTTCCAGCAACTTCCATAGGCAAAATATTATTGTGATTAATTATCATGTGGCATAATACAAAGACTAGATGATGTATCGTGGCTTCCGGAGGGCGCCTGCTTCGTTTTTTCGCTGGAGCCCTCGGGGCAGGGCAACTGGAGAAATCCCTGCGTGGCCTTCGGCCCTTCCCTGGTCAGAGCCCGCCAGCAGCGAGGTGCTCCCAGCCATGAGATCTGGGTCTTCAGAATCTCCCGACTTCGGTGCCTTGACCTTGGGCGGAGGGCCCTGTTACCCTTCCTTGCTCACGGACTCCAGCTTT